CGGGGGACCCGCAACTACAAGAAGACCCTGCTCCTACGGCACCACGTCTCCACGGAGCACAAGCTCCACGAAGCCAACGTCCAGGTACGGTCGGGTCCCGCTCCTGCCCGCCCCGGTCCTGGCGGGGAAGGGCGGTCAGCTCCGCGCGCTGCTCTCCCCGGGGAGCATCCTTGCGGCGGGAGAGGGGCGGGCCCCGTGGGCGTGGGAGGTGGGGACGCCCAGGAGCAAGTTTTCAGAAGCGAATCGGGGAGTTGGGGAGGGCGGGGGAATGACAGTTTATTCATCGGAGCGCTGACTTTATTTCGTTGTTTTACGACTTATTTTGCCCCATCGGATTGAATAAAAAAGAAAACTTAGGAAAGCGGGGTTGAAGGCTTTAACCCGGAAAGGTTGACTCTGCGGTCAAAAGTTTCATTGCCTGTGATTTTTGAAAAGCTCCTTCGGTTCAGTGTTTTATAGCATGCTGGTGGAAGTCAAACCTGGGAGCTCTTTGAAGAATGAATTAAACAATTTCCTTAACCTTTGATGCCACCCCTTTTAGGAAAACATCCAGCCGAGAAAACTCTTTACATCAAGTCAGAATAGTTTGAAATATGAGAGCAGTATGTAAATGTAGTGGAAGCTATTTGCTTAACACTCCTTTCTCTTGTACATAATTTTACTAAATTCATCTTCTTTGAACTTGTTGAACTTTGCTTTGGGTAAATTACTGTAGTTTTTGCCTGTTCTACCCAGATTTCTGTGTTGAGATTTTATATAATCCGCCTTTTTCAAAAGTTGATTTGACTGGTAGAGTACATATTTATCAAACTCCTTGAAAGCGAGTCCTTAGTTACAAAACAAGTAAGATGCACACTGGTTCTTCCTTTTTTGTTTTAATATTTCCATTCTAGAGAGAGTAGCCCTGACCATTTTGATAATCCCCTTTCAGGCCTAGCAGAGGTTGATCAGTTCTCCTTTAGGACTTTTTGGACAACCTGTGCTGGCGGGTGGGATTTGATCTTTTGTACTTGTAGCCAGTCATTGGCTTAGAAAGTGGACTTGTAGATGGTAGCCCCCCTGTTTATTGGAATGATCTTGGTGCTCAGAACACTTACACTGGAGTTAATTAAGCAGCATCTAGTAACTCCATAGCCCAGAACCTTCTCAGGAGTTAAGGCTTGAACTTTAAAGTGTAGGTTTATTTTTCCCAGGGGACAGTGGCAATAGTTTTGCACAAATTTTAACTGCCTAAGCCCAGAAGGAAGGTTATTTAAAGATACAAGGCCCAGAAAGGTTAAGTAAATTGTCCTGAGCCTTAGAGCCCTTGGTGATAACTGAGACTAGAGCCTGTGAGGAATGTTGTAATGGGGAAAGAACGGGGTTTGGAGTAAATCTGGGTTCAGATCGCAGCTTTCTGCAATTACTAGCTTTGTGAGCTTGGGCCATGGAGTGAAATAGAACTAACATTTCCTTGTCTTCCATATGCCAAATACGCATTTACCTTAACTCTGCAAAATCATCATTTTGCTCTCATTTTACAGAAGAGGAGTCTGAGGCTTTAAAGGGTTAAGTATATACTTCTGAAGTTAATTAGTAAAATGATGGAGATGGGAAACTTGTGAAAATGAAAGTAGACTTTTCTAAATAATGGTAGGTTGGTTATTCAGAAAAATTAAAATAGACAATTAGAACTTTCTTAATATACTAGTTCAATGGGCCAGTTGCTTCTCTTATCAGCATAGTCTCTCCCTGTAGGCAAAGCTGAATGGAAATGCAGATTATAATTAGCTGCTTAGTGAACGTGAAATCGGAGGAAGGGGAATTAGTTGGATCACCTTATGATAGACTTGGTGCAGTGCATGTATTCTCCCCCAGGCATGCATCCGGGTCTGGGAATTCACTCCTGGGTAAAATCATTATTAAACTTGATCTCTGAATTATCCCTCCCTTCCCATCTCCTTTGCCCCCTTGAAGCTCTCTTTTTATAGATCTTTTATGCAGCCCATCTTCTTTTTCTTGAGACATTCTTTCATCAGACTGAGGGGATACAGTTTACTTTGAGGCTATATATTGGTTCCCTTGGTTGGATTTTGGATGTTTCCACTCTGAATTGATCCTAATCATTTGTCTATGTTAATTCTAGCTAACCTTAGTTTGGGGTGTTAATTTGCTATTGTGTGTGCCTTGCAGGTACCACATACATTTCTCCTTGTTAATACGAGTGACAGGTTCAAGAACTGACTTATCCTGTGGACAGTTCGTTTTTTTCCATTATCCTGCAGTCTTTGATTACCAGTAGGAGGCAGTATAACACAGAATGTAAGAGCATTTTCGGGTTTAAGGTTAGGGGGACCTGAATCCTAATTCTCTTTATTGGCAAGCAAAACTTAGCTTCTCATGTATGCAGAGTATATATGCCAGCACATAATCACTTAGTAAACGAGGACTATTTTATCATCGTTCTTATTTTCTTTGCAGATAAGTGTAACAAGATGCTTTTTGCGGCCTGGTGTTTCTCATGTCTTAGTGTTACCAGTTTTATCAGTTAGGAGGCCACTTTATCTCACGCAATCACACTGATTCTAGAGAGCAAACCAGTTCCCTTTTTCATACCTTCTGAGACCTTGGCCATCCAGTTCTTTGAACGTTCTGAGATTTCTCATCACACATGCCATTTTTCTCAGCTCCATAAAAAAATGCCTTGCATCAACTTCCCCCTGTCTTAAAAACATTGAAATAAGAGTGTTAGGGTTAGTTCTTCAGGCAAGAATTCAGTTGGAGGTTGGGGTAGTTCACTTTATTACATACACACTCTGTGTTTGTTGTTTTAAGGAGGCCTGTTTTTGAGAGGAGTTTGGCCAAATCTTAGTATGTCATTAAGAGTTACTTTTCTTATTTTTTCTGTAGGTAAGAAAAGCTCTTTTTCATTAATTTCATGGCGGTGACTAAAACATTATAGCACCTTAAAAAGTTTGATATTCTTGTTAATGGATGTTAGTTGTGAAGGACTCCTCATGGAAGAGTCTGTAAATAAGTTTTCAGAATCTGTTCTGGGCCTTCAGTTTCAAAGAGAAGCCTGTAATTCTTTATAAGCATATGTGAGTATAACATGTAAGGGACAGCATATAGTGAGGGAGGGAGAGGGAGAGAGAGAAACATCAATGATGAGAATCATCTATTGGCTGCCTCCTGCACGCCCCCTACTGGGGGTTGAGCCTGCAACCCCAGGAATGCGCCCTTACCTGGAACCTAACTGTGACCTGGTTCATAGGTTGACCCTCAATCCCAGAGTCACACCGGCCAGTCTATACTTTGTATTTTGAGTAACAACTGACTGTGTCTTTATAGAAGTTCAATAATTAGCTCATACAGGAATTGACCATTTGGCCTAGAGGACTTTAAAAAATGGTTTTAACAGTGATTATTCCACTGTCTGTTGGTTCAGGTCACTTTCTACCCACTTATAAAATTTCATAGCTTACATTGCACATTGTGCCAGCCCTTTCCAGTTTACTAACCCTGAGACAAGCACTCAGATGTATTGGTGTTATGCATTTACTTAGCCTTTCCAGAAAGTAAATGCTGAATTCAGATCTGGTCTGGTTGACATTATTAAGTGGACTATGTTGAGGTCATCACTAAAGCAAAGGTGAAGCAAAGCTACCAGCCTTCTTTGAATTTGGCAACAATATGGCTCAAGGATTATTGTTTTTACAATTTAGGAGGAAAATCTGAAAACCCTCTCACTAAGAAGAAGAAATATTAAAGATGAACCTATGCCCATTAAAGAACCACTTTGTAGAATATTATTTGTATAGGTCCTAACATTGTGTTTGAATCCATAATTGTTTTTTGAAAGGGGACTGTAATTCTGGGCAGGGAAGTAAATGCTAATTGCTTGTTGGTTTTTAGCTAAATAGCATTTTCTTATTTATTGATTGACTACAGTTGAGTTCCCTGCTTGCAGCTGAATTTATCTCTCTCTCTCCCTCAGAGGGTGGTGTAGATTTCCCTAGTCATTACCTAGCTCCCCAGGCTGTGATGCTTTCTCCCCAACCCCCACAATCCAGTTAATCACTCAAGTTCTGATTTTTACCTCCCAAACTCTGCCTCACCACCTCTCCCCCTATTAACATTCTCCATCTTCCCTAGTTAAGGTCCTTGATTATTGCAAGTATGTTACACTGTTAACAGTGGCTTCCGCTGGTCAGTATCTCCAGTCCTAGTCCCCCAGTATTAATCCTCTACTTAGCTCCGGTCATCTCTTCCACTAATCCAATCAGATCACTCTGCTTCTAAAGCTCTGGCACCTATAGAAGACATTCTTAATCTTGTTGGGGGTTCTAATCTCTTAATAATCTGATGAAAGCTGTAGAAACTTTTAAGTGTTAGTGAGTGCACATTTGCATATCTTGGGTTTTTGGATCATCCTGGAGTATTTTAAGAAATCTGGAATTGTAAGGATATTGTATCCATCTTGGTTCTTTTTCTTCCACTATCTACTTTGCTTAGAATGCACATCCTTCCATCCTTCTCTTTCATCTTCTAAGTCTCTGCTCAAATCTTTCCTCCAATCACCTCCGCCCCCCACCTCCTGAGAGAAATCTGGATTAGATGCACCTCCTGTGCGTCTAACACCCTTGTCATATTCTTCAGTGCTTTAGGAGTCCTGATCACTAGTGATAACTTTTTGCCTTTAGTATAAGAATTTCTTATTTGGTTCAGCAAATAATATTGGCCATTTATTTTAGCTATATTTCACCCAAATCCTCAAGTAATACTCCCCTTGGAAAGCAACACGCACTAACTTGTAAACCATTTGTTTCCAAGGGCACATTTAATAGGTGCTCTGATCAGTAGTGGAAAAGAAGTTGCTAGCGTTGCTTGTAAATTAGGGAACATCACTGTTATACAATAGTAATGAGAGAAAAAGTGGTTGAATAACTGTGCTTGATTTGTGTAGTTTTGTTTAAAATAGAATGGGCAAATGTTTTGGTGTACAGGCTTTTGTCTGAGTTATTTTTTAAATTTAGGATATTTGGTCTGATAATGGCGGGGAATTTCAGAACTTGGGACTAGCCCAGGAAATTGAGAACACAACGACCAGAGCCTGAAATGGTCACTACAGTTAGACATAGCCATGTCCTTCCTGCAGCGTGGGTGCTGAATGTGCTTCGAAGCAGCTCCTGCTTTGCTAATGCTAATGCACTGAAGAGTAATTCTTAATTCTTGTCCTTACGTTATATTTCAAGAAGGACATGATGCATGTTACTCTGTAAATGAAATCCTGCTGACTCTTATTCAGGTGTTCGCGTGCACCAAGCTGTCACACTTTCCTCTCAGCACTGGGATGTGAGCACTTGTGGTGATTACTAATGTTAGTGTACGTTCAGCCCTCTGCACCTGCAGATTCTGCATCCACCCATTCAACCAGCTGCAGGTCAAACATGTTGGGAAAAACAACATCGTTGTACTATGGAGTTAGGGCGGCTATGGTTGAGCTTGTACTGAAGATGCACGGACTTTTTTCTTGTCATTATTCCCTGAACAACTCAGTATAACTATTTACACAGCATTTCCATTGTAGTGGGTATTATAAGTAATGTAGAGATTATTTAAAATACACAGGAGGATATGCAAGTACTACCTATTTTATATGAGGAACTTGAGTTTAACATTTATGTTTTCCATTCGCTTATAGGAATCAGAAATACCTTCAGAAGAGGGATACTGTGACTTTAATAGTAGGCCAAATGAAAACTCTTATTGCTGTCAACTTCTTGGACAATTAAATGAGCAGAGAAAGAAAGGTATTCTTTGTGATGTCAGCATTGTGGTGAGCGGAAAAATCTTTAAAGCTCATAAGAACATCCTGGTTGCAGGCAGCCGTTTCTTTAAGACTTTATATTGCTTTTCCAACAAAGAAAGCCCTAACCAAAACAATACTACCCACTTAGATATTGCTGCAGTTCAAGGTTTCTCCGTCATCTTGGACTTCCTGTACTCTGGTAACCTGGTGCTCACGAGTCAAAATGCCGTTGAAGTGATGACCGTGGCCAGCTACCTGCAGATGAGCAAAGTTGTCCAGACTTGCCAAAATTTCATCAAAGATGCCTTAAATATAAGCATTAAATCTGAAGCTCCGGAGTCTGTGGTTGTGGACTACAACAACAGAAAACCAGTCAGTAGAGATGGTCTGTCTGCATCGCGGGATCAAAAAATTGCCAGTTTTTGGGCAACACGGAATCTTACCAATTTGGCAAGTAGTGTAAAAACTGAAAATGATGGTTGCAGTGTCGATGAGGGCCAAATGGAGAACTACCAAATGAATGACAGTGGTTGGGCTCAGGATGGTTCACCTGAATTGGCTGAAAGTGAAGCCCCAAGTCAAACAAAAGTGTTTATTTGGAATAATATGGGCTCCCAGGGAATTCAAGAAACTGGCAACAAAACAAGGAGGAAAAAACAAACTGCAAAGAGATTTATTTATAATATACCGCCTAATAATGGAACAAGTTTAGAAGATCGCTCAGTGATGCAGCCACCTGTTGCCTATCCAGAAGAAGATATGTCATTCCGTGATGCAGCAACCTGTTGCCTATCCAGAAGAAGATATGTCATTCATTAAGGAAGAACCAGGTAAATACTGTGCATACAAAGTTGCTTCAGTTTTCATTATAATTCCATTTGGCTATAATGTTGAAGTATGCTTTTTAAAGTTTTTTGTCATTATAAAATACATGTAACTAATAAGAAATTTGAATATTTAAAATAGGGTGAAATTATTCAAGCACATAATTTTGGAATCTTAGTATTTTCTCTAGGCCTGTGGCTGTGGGTTATGCAAAGGCTGTGTTAATAATCAGGCATTTGCCTATATTGTTTGGCATGCAGACGTCACTAAATGTTTAGTAATTTGACTTTCCTGCTTTAGACTCTGCTTACCCTTTTTGCACCCAGTCCTGGAAAGGATAAGTTCTTTAGTTGTAAGATGTAGTTTGTTATTTCAGAACATTTTTGATACCTAGTTAATATACTTTACTCTCTTAAAAATATATTTTTTATTGACTTCAGAGAGAGAGAGAAACATCAATGATGAGAGAGAAGCATTGATTGGCTGCCTCCTACATACCCCTACTGGGATTGAGCCTGCAACCCAGGCCTGTGCCCTGACCAGAATTGAACCCTAACCTGGTTCGTGGGTTGATGCTTAACCACCGAGCCACATTGCCCAGGCAGCATCCTTTACTCTTTAATGTTTTCGGTAAATTAAACATTTACAAGTGTTTACAGATTTTTGCAAATGGTAATAGTGTTATTCTCATTTGTGTAGAGCTGCTGTTCTCACAGTAAATATTACAGAAGCTGGAATATTTTAAATTTGTCCCACTCTTACCTCATTTTCCTTAGTTAAGAGAGGCCTCTGAAATTTTTCTTTGAGACTTTTCAGTATATCAAAGGAGTATGTACAAGAATCTTAGCATGTCATATTTGTTGTGTGGGTTTTCAAAAAAGTCGGGTGCAGGGCATCATTGAGGAGTGGAAATAGATTGGAACTTTGCCTTAACGTAAATTGACTGCCCCGTCTAACTTTTTATTTGAAGCAGCAGCCTGGTGGGTTGGGGTTTTCTCTGCAGACCCCACACTTGTCCAGCCGCACGTGATATAATGCTTGCTTTGCCCTGAAGCTCTGTAGCTGTTCAGTGTCTGATTTCCATGATGGTGATCATGTGGGGGTGGAGTACTTTCTGTTAAAAAGAATTACTGTTTTTATTTCCTTTTCCCTTTGGCAAAGGGCAAAATGTCATAGTAATCCTGTGAAATGGTTCCTCTGGCTTTTTAGGTTTGGGTTTAGTTTTCATCGGTAGAAATTTTGCTTGTTTGAACATCAGGTGTGTGTAGTAAACACTGTTTGCTGGTCTTCTCCATCCGGTTTATAAGAGTTAGGACACAATTGATATAGAGCCAGGAATTGACAAATTTTTACTATAAAGGGCCAAACAGTAACTATTTTGGCTTTGCTGGTCATAAGGTCAGTTACTTAACTCAGCCATTGTAGCATGAAAACAGTCATACAGGATAGAAACATGCACATGGATGTGTTCCAAGAAAGCTGGATTGACGACCCTTGGTATAGAACAGTGGGTGTCAGTCGTGCCTGTATGTTGGCATTGTTATGCCCAGATTTCAAGATTCCCAAGAGCCCACCAGGGAGCCAGCGAGTCCGATGCAAAAGCAAAGAGTCCTGTATTTCGAACTAGTTCGGCTCCCCGACCACACTCATCGATGCAACGGTAAGCCCAGTGGCAGAGAGAGCTAGCCCGATGTGAAGAGGAGTTTTATAGGGGGGTGGAGAAAGGGCAGGAGAGGAGACTGTGGGCTCCGCCGATTGGCCAGGCGCAAGTCGGTGTCTCATTACACGGAATGTGGTCATATTGATGGCATGCACTTCCCTTGATTATCATTGGTTAGTCCAGAGAAATCCTGGGTGTGGCTAGCAGAGGCTTGGGCTTCCGGGAAGAAGCCTTGCCGAGCACATGGCTCTGTCCAAAAATGGAGGACCCAGGGTAAGATGGAGGGTGTAGTCCTCGCCCTTTCAGGCATCACTTGGGTCTCTCCATTAGTTATTCTGGTTAGTTGGTCTGGGATGCGGTCTGGTTGGTAGGTTTGCTATAAGGTATACAGGTGATTATAATGTGAGCCAAGGATGAGAACCACTCAAAGAGAGGAAAGAACCCTGATAGATTCAGGATTTGGAAATGAGCTCTTCTCCGTACCCACTATGTGACCATGATCAAATTAACTCTTATCCTCAATTTCCTCATCTTTAAAATGTACATAAAAACACAACAGCGATCATGGTCATTTTAATCCCTCTTAAAGTTGGGAGGCTATTGAGGTTATTTAAAATCGGTTTTCCAGTACAGTGTAATTCCCACCAAATTCTATATAAAATGGTCTTATATTTCCAGCTTGCCTTTCTGTTTGAATACTTACAATACTTTTATAAGCAGCCTATTCCAGTGTAGGATAGTTAACTATGATTATTGGGAAGTTATTTTATATTGAGCCAAAAATTGCTTTGCTTTAACTACTAAATTCTGTCATTTTTGTCAGTATAATCTGAGCCCAACCTCTAACCTCTAATCTGCCTGATAACTCTTCAGATATTAGCATTTAAAGAATTTCCCTGAAGTCGTCTGGGCTAAGTGCTGTACCTCCCACCTTGTGGATTTTTTTCAGTCATAGACATCACCTGGCTTGTTTCACCTGAAGTTTTGGTGGACAGAATAGACTATACCTCTTAGGCAAGTTCTGACCAGTAGAGAACACAGTGGGTCTGTGTTTACTGAGGGTCAGGCCTTGCTCAAGGTCATTCAGCTAGGAGATAATAGAGGCAGGTCTCATGTTTTGTTAAGACTGTCTACTACAGTGATTCTCAACCTTCTCGCCCTTCAAAAACAGTTCCTCATGTTGTGATCCAACCACAAAATTATTTTCGTTGCTACTTCCTAACTGTAATGTTGCTACTGTTATGAATCATAATGTAAATATCTGATATGCAGGATGGTCTTAGGCGACCCCTGTGAAAGGGTCGTTCAGCGGCTAAAGGGGTCGCGACCCATAGGTTGAGAACCGCTGGTTTAGTACAAGCATGTCAAACTCAAAGGCTATCACGGGCCAAATAAGGTGTAAGTTTGTGGGGGCCGCAAAAAAACAAAAGCTTCAATTTTCATAGAAATGTAGGTTTATTTCTATAGAGACATGCTAAATACAGAGCTGAAATAAACGAGTCATCATTAACATAAAATAATAGAACGTTTAAATAAACTATTTTTTCTTGAATATTAATTTACCAGACACTGAATAACTGCACAAAGTAATAAACATAATGCAAATCTATTTTTCTTGTTCTCCAAAAGCGGAATACTTCCTGTTGCACACACCAAACAAGTCTGTACAAGACTAATGACGTGGCAGTTGTCTGCTAAAATATTCGCTGCTAGTATTAGTGGAGAGGAATGGTGCGCCTGCGCATAGGGCGAGTGAGGGAAATGAATCCACCATGATTATAGTAATCAGTCATTAGCGAACATTGTAGCTCTATTAATAAGTATTTATAATTATTTATAATAGGATATTGTTAAATTTAGTTGAAATTTTTATTAAAATGTATTTTACATACCGTTATATTAGCTGGGCCACAAAAATACTTGTGGGCTGCATGTGGCCCGAGGGCCGTGAGTTTGACATGCTTGAGCTTCTAGACCAGTGATTCTCAACCTGTGGGTCGTGACCCCTTTGGCGGTTGAACGACCCTTTCACAGGGGTTGCCTAAGACCATCCTGCTTATCAGATATTTACATTACGATTCATAACAGTAGCAACATTACAGTTATGAAGTAGCAACGAAAATACTTTCATGGTTGGGTCACAACATGAGGAACTGTATTTAAAGGGCCAGAAGGTTGAGAACCACTGTAATCTAGACCCATTCTTTTTTAAAAACTAGTCCCTTTTAAAACTTCAAATATTTTTATGAACCCCACACATTGATTATACTTTCATTTCATTTTATTAAGTAAATAGAGGAAGTTTTCAGTGAAATAAATGCTTTTAAAATAATTTAAGGTTCTATACCTAAATGTCTGGAGAGTTGCGAACTCTTCACTTTCTCTCCAAGCATTGCTTGGCACATTTGGGTTTCTTAAGCTTACAGTTTGTATAGCACAGCTCTAAAAATAATGTCTTTTTGCCGCATAATGTTGAAGCTGGTTTTTGGATGCCTCAAAGAAATGTTGTAAGATATTAAGAGAAGAAGACACACCCATAGATATCAGGAACTTGATTCGGAGGGTATTTTTAATCAGAGGCTAGCATGTCTGTTATTGGACTCACTACTCAAAGTTAGATCCGCTTTGAACTAACATAAAGATTACTTCCACTGCCCAAAAAGCCCCACGGGCCACCTCTTCACTCCTCCCTCCCTGTCCTCAGACTTCCTGCAGCAATTGGCCTTTCACATCTCTCTGGCCTTTTCATAAGTGCCATATAGTCTAAGCAGCTTCTTTCAAAGGGGGACAGCCGTCCTGCAGGGTGACAGGCTTTTGGCACTGGATTCTGGAAGGAATCTTCCGTGCGGTTTTGTCGAGTTGACACCAACCAGTATGACAGACAGCGTCCTCAGAAGCATCCTCTAGTGATGCAGCAGCAGACTATGTAATTGATTTCTATCTTTCATAGAAGCTGAGAGAATCCTATACTGATGACTAGATTTTCTTAATACTGTACAAGTACTCGGGAACAAGGTGGTCTTGGTCAAGGGATACAGTTCATCTAAAAGCTCCTTTCTCTCATCTGTATTTCTGATGGGAAAACAGCTGCACAACATTTGTGAATTGAGTTGAGTTGGGTTTAAGCTTTACATTTTCAGTTTTTATAACTGCCTTTTGTCTAAAAAACCTAATTTGAGTATTTATTTATTTTTTTTTTAATATATTTTATTGATTTTCTACAGAGAGGAAAGGAGAGAGATAGTTAGAAACATCGATGAGAGAGAAGTATCGATCAGCCGCCTCCTGCACACCCCCCACTGGGGATGTGCCCACAACCAAGGTACATGCCCTTGACCGGAATCG